CCTTGTTGCCAGGTCAATCTATACCACCACCACCTCCACCTCTTTCATTACCAGGCCAATCTGTAGCACCACCTTCTCTTCCACGACTTTCATTGTCGGGCAAATCTGTACAACCACATTCTTCTCCACCTCATTCGTTGCCAAGCCAATCTCCACCTCCTTCTCCTCCTCCTTCGTTACCAGGCCAATCTGTAGCACCACCTTCTCTTACACCTCTTTCATTGTCAGGCAAATCTGTACTACATTCTTCTCCACCTCCTTCATTGCCAGGCCAATCTCAACCTCCTTCATTGCCAGGCCAATCTCAACCTCCTTCATTGCCAGGCCAATCTGTACCACCACCTTCTCCACTGCCCTTGTTGCCAGGCCAATCTATACCACCACCACCTTCACCTCTTTCATTACCCGGCCAATCTGTAGCACCACCTTCTCTTCCACGTCTTTCATTATCGGGAAAATCTGTACAACTGCATTCTTCTCCACCTCATTCGTTGCCAAGCCAATCTCCACCTCCTTCTCCTCCCCCTTCATTGCCAGGCCAATCTACACCACCTCCTTCATTGCCAGGTGAATCTTCACCACCTTCATTGCCAGGCCAATCTGTACCACCACCTTCTCCACTGCCCTTGTTGCCAGGCCAATCTATACCACCACCACCTTCACCTCTTTCATTACCAGACCAATCTGTAGCACCACCTTCTTCTCCATCTCCTTTGTTGTCAGGCAAATCTCTACATCCTTCATTGCCAGGGCAATCTACACCGCCTTCTCCACCTGTTTCATTGCCAGGTGAATCTCTTCCTGCTTCATTACCAGGCCAGTCTCAACCTCATTCATTGCCAGGCCAATCTGTACCACCACCTTCTCCACCTCCTTTGTTGTCAGGCCAATCACCACCTTCTTCTCCATCTCATTCATTGCCAGGCGAATCTCTATCTCCTTCATTGCCAGGCCAATCTCCACCACCTTCTCCACCTCCTTCATTGCCAGGCCAATCCCAATCTTTTTTATTGTCAAGCCAATCTGTACCACCGCCTTCTCCCCCACCTCCTTTGTTGCTAGGTCAATCTGTACCACCACCTTCTTTTCCACCTCTTTCATTGCCAAGCCAATCTGTACCACCACCTTCTCCATCTCTTTCATTGCCAGGTGAAACTGTACCACAACCTCTTTCTCCAGATCCTTTGTTGCCAGGCAAATCTTCTCCACCACCACCTCCTCTACCTCTTCCATTGCCAGGCCAATCTCCACCTTCTTCTCAATCTCTTTCATTGCCAAGCCAATCTGTACCACCACGCCAATCTGTACCACCACTACCTTCTTCTCTGTTGCCAAGCAAATTTGTCCCACCACCTCTCCCACTACCTCCTTCATTGCCAAGGCAATCTGTTCGACCACCTCTTCTTCCACATTCTTGGCTGCCAGGCCAATCTGTCCCACCACCTCTTCCTCTGCCAGGCTATTCTGTACCACCACTTCGACCTCCTTTGTTGCCACGCCAATCTGTACCTCCACCTCCTCCTCCACCTCCTCCACCTCCTTCATTTCCAGGCCAATATCAACCACCGCCACCCCCTCCACCTCCTTTGATGTTCTGTCAATCTGTACCACCTCCTCCACCACCACCCCCTTTGATGCCAGGCCAACCTGTACCACCACCTCCTCCTCCACCACCCCCTTTGATGCCAGGACAATCTGTACCACCACCTCTTCCTCCACCACCCCCTTTGATGCCAGGACAATCTGTACCACCACGTCCTCCTCCACCTCTGCTGCTAGGCCAGTCTGCACCTCCTCCTCCTCCCATGTCTCCAGGGACCCCATCTGTGTATAATGCTGCAACATCAACTCCAAAACCAACGGTAAAAATGAAAACATTCAACTGGACAAAAATACCACCAACTGAAATATGTATGGCAGGTGAGTCTAGCATATTGTTTACAGTCATTATATTTCTACTAGACACATAAAGGAAAAAAACAATTTATGCCATTCCTGCTAGAAAAGAAGTTGTTTTTACTATGATATACTCAAATCAACTTTATGTTCCACTATTGTCACATGTCACTGTACAAACATATACTTTGTGTGTGTATATATATATATATATATATATATATATATATATATATATATATATATATATATATATATATATATATACATATGGCACATCTGTCATTCTGGCTAATCGCAATGGGTGGCAGAATAAC